GGTTAAGGGCGGCCACACGGTCGTATGTTTCTAGCCAGGTCTCCGGGTCTTCGAACGATGACCCATGGAAAGTTGGTGGTTCCCTGGGTTGATGCATGACGATCGCGGTCTGGGACACTGTGGTTGTCATTGTCGAGGTCATGGCCTTGGTCTTCTACGCCTTGTCTTTTAGAAGCCAGTACTCCGGTGGTAGACCTTGCTGTCGGCGGCTTGTTCGCCGACAGCAAGGTCTACGCAAGACACCGCCGACAATGCCAGCGTGATTTCTGCAGCCCATTGAGCCACCTCGCCGACCATTCCAGCAGATTGGCATGGACCTACTGGGGCCGTTCCCGACGTCCGCTTTCGGAAACAAGTGGATCGTAGTAGCTACCGACTACCTCACCCGCTACGCCGAGACAGAAGTCTTGCTCAAAGGCAGTGCATCCGAAGTAGCCAAGTTTTTCGTCGAAAATATCGTCCTACGTCACTGTGCCCCAGAGGTCCTCATCACCGACAGAAGATCGGCATTTACTACTGACCTAACTCAAGCGATCTCGGCATACAGCCAGACAAACCACCGCCGGACGACAGCGTACCACCCACAGACCAACGGCCTCACCGAGCGGCTAAACAAGACCATCGCCTACATGCTCGCAATGCACGCCGATGTTGAACACAAGACGTGGGACGTCATTCTTCCGTACGTGACCTTCGCATACAACACGGCGGTGCAGGATTGATTGATTGATATGTGGGGTTTAACGTCCCAAAACCACCATATGATTATGAGAGACGCCGTAGTGGAGGGCTCCGGAAATTTCGACCACCTGGGGTTCTTTAACGTGCACCCAAATCTGAGCACACGGGCCTACAACATTTCCGCCTCCATCGGAAATGCAGCCCCCGCAGCCGGGAATCGAACCAGCGACCTGCGGGTCAGCAGCCGAGTACCTTAGCCACTAGACCATCACGGCGGGGCAAATAAGCACGGTGCAAGAGACGACGCAGATATCTCCATACAAATTGGTCTACGGAAGAAGCCCGGCAACGACGCTCGGTGCCATGTTATCCAACGTCACCGACGAGGAAAACCTCGATGTGTCTGAGTACCTCCAGCGCGCCGAAGAAGCCCGACAACTCGCGCGCCTCCGTATCAAGAACCAACAGACGACCGATAGCCGCCGTTACAATCTTCGACGACGCTTCGTGGAATACCAGCCCGGTGAACGTGTTTGGGTGTGAACACCTATACGCCGACGGGGACTCAGTGAAAAACTTCTGCGTCGGTATTTTGGACCTTACAGTGTAATTCGACGGCTCGGTCCACTCAACTACAAGGTTGTTCTCGACGGCATCACGAACTCTCAATGACGCCGATCGCGACCTGAAGTCGTCCATGTCGCGCATCTCAAGCTGTTTCATGCACGTTAATGAACTCTAACAGTGTTTTTTATGCATTATTGCTGTATCATAACTTATTCTGTGTACTTTCTTGCATTATTGCTGTACTTTCCTCTTCCGTTAAAGCATTGGGACGATGTTTTTTTTCAGAGGGGGGCAATGCCACGTTCCTTTTTGCAAGTTTTGTTATCGCCCCAATACACTACACAATTCTCAGCACAAACCGCGCCTGCTGTTTTCGAGAAACTTCAGGACTGTAGTAGACCATTTCAATAAGATCACGCGCACTCCGCGAACTACACAGATTATTCTGGAACCTACGGCACCGCTAGCATTAACGCTAGAATATTCGATGGCAAGTGTATAAATGCCGACGCGCTTCGCCGCTTGTCAGTAGATCGACGGCCCATGCTCCGTTCACTGCTATCTGTGCAAGACTGCTACTGTAATCGGACTTTCCGTTTACCGTGCACAGGTTCGCCCATCATCATCATCAGCCTGACTACGTCCACTGCAGGACAAAGGCCTCTCCCATGTTTCGCCAGTTAACCCGGTCCTGTGCTTACTGCTGCCAATTGATACCCGCAAACTTCTTAATCTCATCTGCCCACCTAACCTTCTGTCTCCCCCTAACCCGCTTGCCTTCTCTGGGAATCCAGTTAGTTACCCTTAACGACCAGCGGTTATCCTGTCTACGCGCTACATGCCCGGCCCATGTCCATTTCTTCTTCTTGATTTCAGCTATGATATCCTTAACACCCGTTTCTTCCCTAATCCACTTTGTTCTGTTCTTGTCTCTCAAGGCTACACTTACCATTTCTCTTTCCATTGCTCACTGCGTCGTCCTCAATTTAAGCTGAACCCTCTTTGTAAATTTCCAGGTTTTTGCTCCGTAGCTAAGTACCGGCAAAATACAGCTGTTATATACCTTCCTCTTGAGGGATAGTGTCAATCTACCTGTCATAATTTGAGAGGGCTTGCCAATTGTGCTCCACCCCATTCTTATTCTTCTAGTTACTTCAATCTCGTGGTTCGGCTCCATGGTTATTACCTGCCCTAAGTAGACATAGTCTTTTGCAACTTGAAGTGCACTATTACCTGTCTCGAAGCGCTGCTCTTTTCCGAGGTCGTTGTACATTACTTTCGTTTTCTACAGATTAATTTTAAGACCCACCTTTCTGCTCTCCTTGTCTAACTCCGTAATCATGAGTTGCAATTCGTCCTCTGAGTTACTCAGCAATGCAATGTCATCGGCGAAGCGCAGGTTACTAAGGTACTCTCCATTAACTCTTATCCCTAACTGTTCCCATTCTAGGCTTCTGAAAACCTCCTGTTCCGGTTCGCCCAAATAAACAGTTAAATCCCAACATAAAGTCTCCTGTCTTCGGCCCCGTCACGACCCCGTGACAGTATGAAGAACATATTTGAGTAGTCATAACATGAAAATCCTGACATGTATGTCATTAATGTCATGATTTACAATTCATGGCCCTACAGCTCTTGCAGTGGTTTTGTTCGCATGGCATGTTGCAAAACTGGTATGGTATGACATGATTGCATGGCTAACATAAGCGACAGACCCTAACATGCAAATCATGACATGCGTTCATGTAATAAAATGACTACATGCCACGATCACGATGCGCTCGCGGCCGTTTCCTAGCTTCACATATAATAAAATCGGCATTGCGCGATGCGAACGGACGACATTGGTAAATGACATATCAAAACATGATAATCACGACAAGCATGTCATGTAACAACACGAGTACATGCCATACTCAAGATGCGCTCGCGGCCGTTTCGATAGCTTCACATATGCCAAATTTGGTATTACGTGACGCCAATAGATGACAAAGATATGTGACTGGTGCAAACATAATAATCACGAGATGCTTGTCATGTGAGCATGACCCTACGTCACGAAAAGAGGGAGACGCAGTGTTGTCTGGGTAACGATCGGCATAGAGTAATGTTACTCTATGGCATCGGCACGAAATGCAGCATGTCGTATTTCGCGCCGGGTGCCGTCGGGCCGCGCCGACGGATGCTGGTCGTGCGTGGCGTCAAACTATAGACTGCTCGCGTTTCGCTAACGTAGCGTCGCTGTGCTCAGCGTGCGCGTCAACGCTGCATTAGAGTATAATGGGTCCTTCGTGCTGCGCTCGCGGCCGTTTTGCTAGCTCCACTTATACCAAATTCGGTGTGACGTGACATCAATGAATGACGAAATACATTACTGGTGCAAACATGATAATCCTCACACTCGTGTCGTGTAAGAACATGACAACATACCACGCTCATAGCGTTCTCGCGGCCGTTTCGCTAGCTCAAGATATACTAAATTTTGTGTCACGTGAAGTGAATATATGAAGGTAAACGACACATCCAAATATGATAATCGTGACAGGGTTCATGTACGGCATCATTTACCTCTACCTCGTAACGTTGTGCTGACTTTCAAGTGACATATCAACATTTCTTATTCATGCTTCGCATATTATCGATTTTGACTGTACGTGGCATCTGCCAATTTTTTGGCTCATTTATTTTAGTTTTTTGTCTTGGCTACAATTTGGTGCCCGGCTACTTTTTTCTAGATTTTTCATGCCCTCCCCCGCCCACGAGAAGTAACAAGACAAATATTTTTAGTCATCATCATCAGCCTGACTACGTCCACTGCAGGACAAAGGCCTCTCCCATGTTCCGCCAGTTAACCCGGTCCTGTGCTTGCTGCTGCCAATTTATACCCGCAAACTTCTTAATCTCATCTGCCCACCTAACCTTCTGTCTCCCCCTAACCCGCTTCCCTTCTATGGGAATCCAGTTAGTTACCCTTAATGACCAGCGGTTATCCTGTCTACGCGCTACATGCCCGGCCCATGTCCATTTCCTCTTCTTTATTTCAACTATGATATCCTTAACCCCCGTTTTTCCCCTAACCCACTCTGCTCTCTTCTTGTCTCTTAAGGTTACACCAACCATTTTTCTTTCGATTGCTTGCTGCGTCGTCCTCAATTTAAGCTGAACCCTCTTTGTAAGTCTCCAGGTTTCTGCTCCATAGCTAAGTACCGGCAAGATACAGCTGTTATATACCTTCCTTCTGAGGGATAGTGGCAATCTACCTGTCATAATTTGAGAGTGCTTGCCGAATGTGCTCCACCCCATTTTTATTCTTCTAGTTACTTCAATCTCGTGGTTAGGCTCTGCGGTTATTACCTGCCCTAAGTAGACATAGTCTTTTACAACTTCAAGTGCACTATTACCTATCTCGAAGCGCTGCTCCTTTCCGAGGTTGTTGTACATTACTTTCGTTTTCTGCAGATTAATTTTACGACCCACCTTTCTGCTCTCCTTATCTAACTCCGTAATCATGAATTGCAATTCGTCCCTTGAGTTACTCAGCAATGCAATGTCATCGGCGAAGCGCAAGTTACTAAGGTATTCTCCATTAACTCTTATCACTAACTGTTCCCATTCTAGGCTTCTGAAAACCTCCTGTAAGCACGCGGTAAATAGCATTGGGGAGATTGTGTCCCCCTGCCTTACACCTTTCTTGATTGGTATTCTGTTGCTTTCTTTATGAAGCACTATGGTAGCAGTTGATCCCCTGTAGATTTTTTAGTGCTTCAGGTTTATTTTACACGTAATATAAAGAAGGCAATATGCCATTTTCCATTTCGCGAAAACTTATCATCTATCCAACGGCATTCCTTCTCGCATAGGTGCACCTTCTTGATTTGAAGCAAACACGAGCCATTCTTTTGTTACATCCACAGATGCGCCAGTTTTGATGAACAGGGTATGTCTCATCTGGAAAATGGGAGAAAAAAAAAACATGAGGTCCTCTTCTTTAATAAGCCATCTCTTAGACAACCGCTTCTACCAATTTTCAACAAAACACACAGTAGGAACATTTGTTGGGAAACTAATTGGTTATGCCCGATTATGAGGATGACAGCATCTGCAGAGACGGGAAGAAAATACTTGGTGGGCTGCATGATGCATTTTTATTACTAAAGTAGTCTGCAGACATGAAAGATCCCCATCAATACAAAAAAAATGAAGACAAACAATTAAAAAAATACCTTTATCCTCACACATTCTGGAACATGCATTCTTGCAATTGAAAGAAAAAGTAATTTTTTACTGATAGCACTATGGAAGCAGCATTTGCGCAGAAGCACGGTTTAGTGTCTTGTTATTTTCTTGGATGTACGTACCTTTATATTGATAAACATTACTGAGGTGGTCAATGCACCTTTATTTACGAAGGTTATTTTTGTTGTGTGCTTCTGTTGTCAATACTTTATGTTATTTCAATGCTCATTATTGAGCAGTCCTGCCGCTTAATCGTGCAGCTGACTGTTTAAATGATGTAATTGGTTATGTGCTCTGGCTCCCGTCTGCCACAAATCGGCAAGCTGATAGAACATGAATTAAGAATTATACAGTATTTAAGTAGTGAATATGGTGGCAGTGAAACTGTTTCAATGCTCAATCTTGCTCCAGATGGCAGAAGTTAGATTTTTTCAGGAGGGTAGCATATGCAAAACAGAAAAAAAAATTGTACTAGTAGGTCAAGTTTTCAAACAAACATCAGTGATACAGTATGTGCAATATTCTGGTCTTAGCGAAAAATTTTCTAAAGAACAGCAACCAAAATATCACAGCATCGCAAAATCTACATAACAAAAAGTCGTAAGGATGTTGTCAATAAAAGGTGAAGCAAAACCAATTTATTGGTTTTATGTTGATGCTCACCAAGCAGAAGCAGCACACATTTGCAGGCTTTTAAATGGAAAATTGTTCTCAGCGGCCCAGCAATACTTCTTGGTAACCACATTAGTACAATACACAGTGTTCATGTGATGTCACTTCCGCCGTTGTCACCCTCTCCCGCCATGCCTGGGTACCTGCGGCAGTTCGCGTGCTGCAGCGCGGTTTGTTGGGGGCTCGTCATCTGTTGCTGTGCACGATGTTGAAAGGGAAGTATTGTGGTTTTTTTGTTGTCGTACCTTAACGAGCTCATCGGATCAGGAAGGCCTCGTTTATTCACTCGATACAAGACCAAATACGAAGAGGTGCGACATGTATACCAGCCCCCCGCCACGACCTACGAGGGCCCATCATCTAGATTTCACTACAAACACCACAAATCGCGTGGCCCAAGAACAAGTGAGAGCACAAAGTCTTTCGAGCCGCAATTTTAAGAGTGGATGAGCAAAGCGCAGCAGCTCCTATCGAAAACGAGTCGTGCAGAGCTAGGCAAGTTTACATTACGAGATACAATATTAATATTAATATATTGCTGCGGCACGCGCCACCAAAGTAGCAGCGTCCCCCCCAAGTGTTTTAAACAGTGCTGATGTTGAGCCTATTTGATTTAAATTTGTGGGAACAGCAGAGGAAAATATTATGCAAGGCAGACTGAGACTTTGCGTGGTGCATGCCACGGTAATGCCGGTTATCACTTTTTTTTCGAGTATGTTTTGACACCTTTATCACCTTGTATGTTACTTTTTTGCACGCTGATGTACAGTGGAGTCCCTGAAAATGACGGAGACCGTGTTAGTGAATTAATTGACCAACTTTTCAAAATCCTGACCCCCCAACTCGAACCGATCGGCTATACCTCAAAGTGAACTACTATTGTTTCGCATCCATTCTCACAGTTTGTTTCAATGGAATACCCGAATTTGCGCGATCGCCTTCACGATTTTAACCGCCTCCCTGGCACGCTGATTGTGCACCCAGTAGTCACGGATAAGTTTGTATGTATATCAGTATCTTGGTAAGCTATCTCAGTTTGCAGGTAAGTGCTTGGCTATAGCACTTACCCGGAATGAAGTGACACCTGAAGACTGAAATATCACCGAGTTTCTTCAAGTAGCTTTTTGTTAATCGTGCCAGCCAAACATGCCGGTACTTTTCGGAAAATCGCATTGTGCGTTCTCAATTTTGGGTAATAACTTTCGGCGAAGAAACGCCCCGAAGCTCTGCTCCCTGTTCGAGGACTACTAAATCAACTTGCCTCACTAGCAGCCCTCAAACTTTCATCGTGAGGCAAAACTAAATGGGCGCAAGTCAGAGGAGACAACACGGGAGCGGTAGGCGACGGAGTCTGTAGGTACCCAGGCATGTCGGCGGCGCATTTCGGAAGTGACGAAGGGGCGCTGCGTGACGCACGTGCACACTATGTATATGATGGATCTTTCTGTGCACGGCGTATTCAGCACTGCTGACATTTTCTAGGAAAAAATGGCTGACCTGTAAAAGAAAGCAATACATAAATTAGAAAGTTGATGAATGTAACATGTTTAGAAGCTTTGAAAAAGTCTCTACTATATGCAGTGGTTGTAGTGCAACAGAAGGTTAATCTTGTCATAACAAAACAACATCAATTCATCAAAATATTCATTTCACATTCTACGATGTACTTGTAGGACTGGCAAAAGTATGCCTTCGTTGTAGAAAATTGTGATTAAAATTCACAAATCCCAGTAAGTATTTACTTCCAATTATTACTTGTAAACAGCATTTTTTGGTGTAAACTTCATGAAGTTTTTGTTGGACAACTGAAAGAATCATGTGTATTTGTGTAATTTATAAATAGTCTGACAAGTGGCACTCCATGCATAAAAATAGAACAGATATATGTTACTAATAATACATTTAGCTGATAGATTATTTACAACAGATTATACAATGAAAATTCTGAAGAAATGCATTACATTGATAATAGCATCACTCGCCAATATTGCGTACTTATTAACCAACCACAACTTTCCAACTGTGCCAACATCTGAAATGACAACTTTCTCAATATTGTGCAATATCAATATCAATATTGCAATGTCAATAAATGAAATCCCAAAGTCTCTGAAGCCAAAATTTTATCATAACATTTTTTTTTTCAAAAGTAGAATTTCACTAAAGTAGACCCAACAACACCGAGGAACCTTACTGCGTCAAAGCATTACGTAAAAGAAAAAAATAATACAGGCGCGGCTGAATTCGAATGGCAGACCCATGACTTTCTCGCATTCGGCACCAGCCTTCACATCTATTTTAACTTTTAAGTATGACCGCACGCACAATTTCATAATTTTTAATTAATTAATGAAGCACTAGCATCAACCTTAAATTGTATGGTGCATTAGAGAGATGCACTCATCGTCAGCGACAGGCAGCCCCGCCAGAGTCGAACAAGAAATTGTGTCTTCAAATAGGTTTTTACGTTTTTGGAAACTATATGCAAGAAAAAATAACCCTACGTAAGTGACGCCGTCATTCAGCAAGCAACTTTCTCTAATACAAGGCATCCTTTGAAATTAGTAGCAAACGCCAAAATTGCCGATCTCAAAGGCCAAGTACAAAGACCCTTATTTCTACGTAAGCAGCGCCGCCATAGATGACCTGCGTTTCGCGCTCATCCGGCAGGCACGGGAAATCTAGGAGAGAGAGAGAGAATAAACTTTATTGGGTTCCAGCATGCGGGATTCCCTCCGGCCGCGCAGGGCGTGGGGTTCACCCTATCTCACGTTACACTAGAAGTCCTAATGTCACGCGGGCCTAGACCTCAAGGCCTTCGTGCCCCGTCGCCGCTCGGGTTACTGAGGGTGTCCCCCTTTCGCCTTTGCAGCGCCAGTGCGACCTCGAGCTGCCGGACGGCCCTTCGCTGGTCTTCTGGGTCCGTAGACCCCACACGCTGTTCTACTTGCGGCGGTAACACCGGACCGTCCGCGCTGTCTGCGTCACATCCCCAGAGTATGTGAGCCAGGGTGGCTCTCGCGCTCGCGCACACACTGCACATTTCACTCACGTAGAGTTCGGGGCACACGTGTCGCGCTAGCGATGGGGTCAGCACAGTCTCGGTTTGGAGCTGGCGCAACCTCACCGCCTCCCACCGGGTAAGATCCCTGTGCGGAGGCGGGAAGCCACGCCGTTGCTCCCTGTACCACGCGAGGATGTCGCCGTAATCGAGCAGCTGCTCCTCGCCTTCTTCTTTGGTCGTCGTCGTGTCTTCGGAGGCGGGCGCGGCCGCGGTCCGGCACGTGGCGAGACCACGGGCCGCGGCATCCGCCTCCTCGTTGCGGTTCGGAGATCCTGGTATCAGGTCCCTACCCATGTGAGCCGGGAACCATTTTAGCGTCAGCCTCGACTTGGACTCGTCGCTTGCCAACGCCCTAGCAGCCGCCCCGCACACGGCTCCGCGCGAGAAGCTACGGATGGCCGTCTTGCTGTCACTGAGTATTGTCCGCACGCCCGGGGAGCGCGCCGCCAAGGCTATCGCCATCTCCTCGGCCTGGCTCGCGCTCCGCGTACGCACGCTGCATGACGTGACGATCTTGCCCGTCGTTGCGGCGACCGCCGCCGCCACGTAGGCGTCCTTGTTCTTGACTTTGGCCACGTCCACGTAGACGGCGCCCTCGTCGTTCTGATGTTGCAGCAGCAGCGCCCTGGCTCGCGCCGCTCGTCGTCCCTCGCTTTCGCCGGGACCCATGTTCTTTGGCAGCGGATACACCACCAGTCTTCGCATGGTTGACTCCGTGAGTGGAGACGTTTCGTGGTCTTGTTCCTCGGGGGAGGACAGGCCCACTCGTTCCAGCAGCCGCCTGCCGACCGCGGTGCGGCCCAGGCGCGTCAATTGAGCAGTACGTTGGGCCTCGCCGATCTCCGAGAGCGTGTTGTGCGCTCCCAGAGATAGCAAGGCCGTCGTCTTGGTGCCGTTGAGCAGGCCCATGGCACCCGCATACGCCTTGCGGATGGCCGCGTCGATTCGCTTCCTCTCCGCTTCCGTCCACTTGTGAAAGGCCCCCGCGTATGCTGCGTGGCTAACTGCAAAGGCCTGCAGCAGTCGCAGGAGGCTCGCTTCTCGGATTCCTCGGGACCTCGACGTGACCCTCTTGACGAGTCTCGTCGCTATCCCGATCTTCGTTACTATGTGGTTGGCTGCCGTCCCGTTCGTGCGGTGGGCGTCCACGTACATGCCTAGTACTCGGAGGCTCTGGACGTGCGGGACCGGCGTGCCGTCGCTGGCTCGGACGACTATGTTGCGTTCCGCTTCTTCCGCGGCCCGCTTTCTCCATCTTCCCGGTGGTGGGAGCACCAATAACTGGGACTTCTGTGGCGAGCACTTCAGCCCCGTGTCTCTCAGCGTGGTCTCCACGGCGTCGATCGCTGCCTGCAGTCCGGCCTCGATGTCGCCGTCACTGCCGCCCGTCGCCCATATCGTGACGTCATCGGCATAGATGCAGTACCTGATCTTCGGTCCGAGCGCGTCAAGGCTCTTGGCGACGGCGATCATCACGATGTTGAATAGAAGCGGGGATATCACGGACCCTTGTGGGGTTCCGACGCTTCCTAGCTCCCTCTCTTCGAGTCGTTCGCCTCCCACCTCTAGCCTCGCCGTGCGACGAGTGAGGAAGGATCTTACGTAGTCGTACGTGCGCTTGCCCATGTTGAGCTTTGCCACGCAGGCAAGGATGGCCGAGTGCTCCACCTTATCGAAGGCGCTCTGCAGGTCCAGGCCGAGAATGGCCCGGTTGTCTTTCTGCGGAACGCCTCCGGAGGCGTTGGCTATGTGCAATCTCGCCGAGACGAGCTAGGACTACAGCTAGGACTACGTAGCGCCCGCTTCTTAACACATGCGCTGTTTTCGCCGCCGTAAACCTGACTGCCAATTCGCATATAGCACTGAGAGAACAAGGGCAAATACAAGTACTGCTGATATTTGCTCACCTCCTATTTGAACTTGAATAAACAGCACGTCGCTGCACGGCTGTGACGGCCACGACACCCATCCAACGTGCGAACGAGTTGAAGCGGCGCGCAGTCATACACGTAACACGCGGTAGAATGTGGAAGCGAGCATAAACGGTGCATGCGCGTACACTGGCACAAAGCTAAATTAATTGTCATATTTTTG